TATACGATTTCCGTTCAATATGAAAAAAAAGAAGTAAAGAATGAACCACTGCCAACATCCTATAGATTGGTAACTGAAGAGGCGCTAATTGACACATGAAATATTAAATTTCTTAAAACTGTGAAAAGCCACCACTCAAACCAATCTTCTTCGGATATCTCTTTGTGCGTCTCGAGTCATCCAGAGAAAAAATTCCACGAAGCGAAAAAAGGAGCAAAACTCTTGACATTTTTCATCGAAGCGCGCTAAATATTCGCATCCAGCGAAAATTATCTTTGGTTATTTTAGCATATTTACTATGCAATTTCAATTGCAAGCCAATCGTAACGAAGTGAAAATCCTCAATGTATGTAGCATAGCAGCTTGCCGCTGAAGAAATGGTAATGAACGTGCCCGAACGTGTCATGTCAATCATAATTAAGGGTTTGTGCAGTCATCGATAATTTCATGCAAATCATTTGATTGAATCAAGCAACCGCAAAGATAATTGAGACCATAGAACACTCGTTCCGAATAGATTGGAAAGAAAAATAAGGAATTGCTCTTGTTCTTTCATTACCATCTTGTGTTGTACATATTACGTCAACACTTTTCCATTCCGTGGGAGTTCCAAAAGAAATGAATTTCAAATTTTGCTGAAAGATTTTTGTCTAAATTTAGATTTCATCAAATTAACTCATAAATTGCATTTATCTCCAAGCAAAAACCGCTTTAAAAAGAAAATATTGCATGCACATTGCTCGAGTCCCATATAAAGCATAATCTTTTCAAAGTTCCCAACTTTTGCACCTAACCAGCTGTTATACAGAAACAAATACATCGAACACAAACCGAACTACGTATGACCCGTAGTAGTGTTTTATATAAGCGTTGCAGCTGATATGTGTGCGTGCGTATTATACATGTCATATGTCTAATGAAAACAATTTCAAGGTTTTGACAAGACTCTGTCTCGGTTTATGTGTATGCATTCGCGACTGGAAGTAATTAAGCCGGTATTGCGATACATTTTTGTGGAATTCTGTGACTAACAACTGTTAATTGGCATTGTTCTAGTGAAGTTTACTGTGAATTTATAGTAGCTTATGTTTGAATAGCCTTCCGAACACTGCAAATATGGGTGTTACAATGTAAGAATATGTTTCAAAAGCCGTGAATCGACGATTCCGACTTTAAATCCCCCTTTGCCGCTGTGCTGTTTGATTAAATCTATTCAAATGGGTGACGATTAATTGTTCATGTGTTTATTTATTGTCTTTCTCTTGGTATTTGTGGTGTAGTCTTCAACCATTCCCGGTTCTAGAGAACAAAACTGGTCCCATTACTATTGACTATCTAACGAAACGCTTGCTGGCATTGGGTGCCGTGCAGACGGGCGGCTTTTTGGTTGACTGTGAAACATTCCATTCGATGCCTCCGTTAGGTAAGTCATCATTTCCATATCTCTGCATGATTGTCGTGATCTTATAAATGCATCAACATCAATATTACACCAAAATCAACCTCTGCTGAGCTAATGTTGAGGTTAGGTGTGGTTTGTTTTTGTTTATTTACAACGCAACCTTGACTGCAACTGTCAAATGTCACACAGCAACAGAAAAATCCTGACAAAACTTCAAAATAGGCATATTAAAGGCTTTTATGCCTTTGTTCAAATCTTTGTACTTCAAACAAGAGATATACGTTAACTTGATTTACTTTACCTTATTACGTTACCTCTATGACATCATAGAAACCAAAGGACACAGTTTTTCTCGCGAGAGAGATGATAAAATCGTACTTCGATGCCCACCTTCACCCAAACTTCGATCTTCAGTCTCAAAAATGAACAAAAAATATTCCAATATCAACCAAAGAAAAAAAATTCAAACACCATTACAAGTTCTTTTAGATAATTTTTTTTCATTCAATTTTTATTGTCTACTACTTTGTGTGTGGCATCAATTTTTCCATCATCATTCAAAGCCATTAGTTTCGTGTATACCTACTACAATATCGGTCTGAGATGGGTCTAACCATCGTCTAATTCTCATTCTATTCAACCGAAACGGTTTTTTTTCTCGTTTGCATTCGTCTACCATTTTGCAAATACAATCTCGTTCGTTCCAACCGTTTTCCTTTTTGCCTCAATTTGTTAGTAATGTTATGTAATAATTTTGTAATTCGAATGGCAGGATTCATCCTTAAAATGTCTTATATTGTGTCACCGCGTGATGTGTGTGTGTGGATCAAAATAGTAATATCGTTTCGATTCTTTTGATATTTTTTTTTTTTATGAAAGTAAAACGTGTTTCTTCTCTAATACAAAAATTATGAAGTTTCTTGAGAACGAATTTGTTCACCTAATAAAAAATAAATAAGGATAAAAATACTTTTGTTTTTCGAGTGCCTGAATTGAAGTAACAACAACACAGTTCAACTGCGATTATTTTTATGTACACGAAAATCCATTGATTTAATTTGCAATGGCAGTTCACTGTCTGCCTGTATGTGGCAGTATATATTTTCGTTTTCATTTACTCAAACATTTTGCATACATTGCCGACAAAAATTTGGTGTCATTTCAAGCCATCGATGAATTCGATGCCATATTTGTTAGTTGTTAATAAAATTGGGGACTCGCTATAATTGTGTTGATTATAATTTTGTTTATACTACCATTTAAAAAGACTTAATAAATACAGGTTGCGAGTGGATTATTATTGTCTTCATTTCCCGCTCATTTCTTTCACTTTATTTTTAGTCCGTCATATACTAGATAGAGCAATGCTTATTTTCTTCGTCAATGACACATTGTGTACTTGCCACAATTTTATTCGCCAGTATTTCTGTTGACTCTACTTTTATATCTCTTATTTTTCATTGCATATTCTTTATTTACAAAATTAATACTCACAGGGGGATTATCTTAAAGCTACGAGATTGTATTAACATTTCAATACTGAGTTATAAATAAATCGGTCTATGGTGTGTGTAAGTGTGAGTGCTTGTGGGAATTTTTTTTTTCATTAAATTCAAACAATTGATTGGTTAGTTGTGTGTCAATAAAAATGCACTTCTCTTTGACTTGGAACTGAATTTATCCAAACAAATTACTATCCCAAAAATTGATTGTATGAACAGAATGAAATAAAAAACGAGGTGTGTATGTGTCTGTGGAAGTGATAAGAAATGAATTCGCTATTTGTGGATTTTCATTTGTATATAATCATAATTTCATGTTCATACACAACGCATGGAAGGCACCGGAATGTGGAAGATTTTTTTTGTAATAATTTCTATATTTTCCAAGGATTCATTCGTTTAATCTGAATCGAAAACGGGAAATAAATGTAAAATTGAAGGTTTTGGTTTCTAAATTTTAACGACTGGATGAATGACGGGTGAATGGATATTTATTGTAGTTTGGATTTTAGTTGGAAAAAGTATAGTGGTTTAGGTGATCAATCAATATTTTTATTTTTATTTTGTTTTTGCTGAGGAATGTGGAAGATGTAGTTTTTATTTTTTTGAACGAATAATTGAAAAAATAGCCAAATTTCAAACAATTGGTTCCTTTGTAGTGAAGCCAATTCTTCATGTTCTATTTCCAGTTTTTGACCTCTTCTCTTCAAAGAAAAAAAGATTCTTCTCAAAAACTCTTGCAAATTGGTTCAATTGCATCATATCAATCCAGAAAGATGGAAATATTGAGGACTGAATGCAAAATAAAATGAATATTAGCAGAAATGCCGTTTCAATTAAAATGTTTGTATCAATTTATTCAATAGCTATAATTCTTCGTATAATTTGCTGATAATGGTAATCACTACAATAATTTATTCGTATGTGTTTTAAGTATCGCTATAAATTCATAAGTTCGTCAGCAATGATTTCAACTTGGTATTTGTACATGAATGCATGCACTTCGTTCATTCATACAGATTCATAAGCAGAAAAAATCAACAGTTTTCTTATTATTTGATTAAATTTTACAAAGCATTTCGACTGTTGATGCCAATTTAGCGACTAAAATCAGATTATTGTCATTTGCTCATTCGGCGATCTATAACGTTACATCTTAAGTATTAGTTATTGTCAGAAAACATGGGCTGTATTTAATTGAATCTCAATATTTTTTTTCTTTTCTTCCACTGAAAAATGCAAAGTCACAAGCGAATATTTGATGCTTTTTCTATTTCATAAAAATATTAGTAAGAAGAAAGCAAAATGACCAATCAAATTTGATTTGTGGTGAACAAGCTAGAGTCATGTAGCATTGAAATGTCAAATAGCATTGTTCACGTCTCATTTATGTACAAATTAGAATACTGAAGAATTGATAGAATACTGAAGAATTGATTATGTTTTGTGTTTCGTTATATTTTGTCTCCTATGAGTAAAAGAAATATAGACAATTGTTCGAGTTTTCTTCATTTTTCTCTCGTTTTAATTTTTTTTATTCATTTGATCTCAGTTTTTCTTGTAGAGCTTCATCCCATCATCTCTATTTACAAATACAAAATAAATATAAGTTTTATATGAATGTTTGTTGTATATAGATCCTTTCTCTCTCTGCTTAAATATACGTTTTTTTTAAATTTGATGATAACTAGACATATTATGCTCTAATTGTATTCTGTTAGTTAGATTTTGTATGTATGATTTATATCATTTGCGCGCGTAAAATGTGAGCACAAGTGGCGGTCATTATATATCATTATTATTGTCATCTGGTTGTTAGGATCTTTGATTCGCCTGATTTTACTTACTTAGAACATAAAAACTGAGAACAACAATCGAATTTCTACCTGATTTGCAGTAAAATAAGTGCCTTTTTTTGAGCTCCATGGCCAAATGCCCAGAGTGTTTAAAGCTATCAAAGCTCCAAGATCAGTGTGCGCCATTCTCCGGAAGTCAATGTGGAACATTACAGTTTAGTTGGAGATAAAATGACCTCTCCCAAACATATTTTCATGGATGCATCCATTTCATTAGCCCAAATTGAATTCATGTTACTCTCATTTATTTATTGTCTTTGTACAAATTGGTATGAATTTTTCTTTTTGATTTTTATTTTCGACCAGCATTACATGTTCCATTCAAACGTTTTCAGTTTCTTGTTTAGAGTTTATATTTAATTAGAATATTTAAAGCACTAATGACCAATTAGGATATTTGTCTCGTATTTCTTAACGCTCATACAAATTAGACGATCCAATTTAATTGAATTTTGATCAAGCCAAGCAGGTTGAGTTGACTTATTGTCTAGGTATTTTAGTTTTCTTTGCTCAATGCAAAATCAAGTCGGTACAATTTTGGTTATTGTATTTCGTTGCTACAAAAAAAAATAGTTTAATTTGTTGCTACAAAAAGATGTGTGCTATCGATTTGAGTGCCTGAACAAAATGATTTTGATTCTGAATTTGAAATTCAAATTCTGTTTAAATTTTAAACAAAAAGAAATTAAGAGAAGAGTTAAAAAAAACTCATTAAAAAATGATTCGTCGGCAAGATTACGTGGGGATTATTTGTTTTATTAAAAATTCAAAGTGTTTTTTATTTCGAATTGAGGAATATGTTTACTTCAAACATCAGTTGAACAATTGACATCAAAAACTACATGCCATAGTACAAAATATGAGTTTCACAATTGAGAGAATTCGAACAAAATTTTCGATATTTTTCCATTCGATATGCTTCATGTTACAATTCTTGCCTGAACGATTCAATTTTTAGCAACAAAAAAAAACAATCTTTTGAAATTGAATTAAACCATATTGCCATTGGCATAAGTTCACAATTATCAAACTAAAAATAAATACATTAAACTAAAGAATAATTCTTTAAAAAACTCGTTCTTACAAAACACAAGCGAAAACTATGAGTCATTATTATTCAAAATTAATGACGACGAAATTTTCAGAGAATAAAAAATTGTGCACCAATTACAGTAATGTAATATCGCTTTGAAATCGATCAACGATTCGTTGCGTTTGATCGTGTGTTTGTGATTGTGTGTGTGTGTGTGTGTGTCTGATATGATGTTTGTGATCGAAAAAATGATAATAATCCAAAAAGAAAAAAACTCTTCTCTTTTCATATCATCATCACATTGGCTTGAGATACGCAATAGTACCTGTCGATATGATTATTGTACAATTTCATAAATTGGTTTGATTTTGGTTGTATTTTAAAACTACTTAATTTCCTCTAAGCGAAAAAAGCTGTCACTAACGAAAGAGAGAAAACCCAAACGGAAATGCTTAATATGTATGTGTGCGCATTGCGTATAAAATAATTAAGCTAATACTTTTCGAGTAGCACATATGTTCAAGCAGACAAATGAGTGGTTTTTTTTTCTTCTTCATTAAATTGAAAAGCAAAAGAATATATACTCTGACGTCAAATTAGTAAAAAAGAATAAGCGGCACATGAATCAACTACACAAGTTTCATTTTCAGCTGTACACATACACACGCATTCACCTTTGACGCGCGCCTAAATTGCAACATAAAAAAATGCATACGATAAAATAAATGTCTAAATAATGAAAAAAAAACTCATAGAATTCTACAAAAACTACACTAAATATTCTACGTGAGTTCCCATATCTCATCGATTTATTGTCATGGTTCGTTCGTATTTTGGATCCATTTCGTCAAGATCCCTGCCTCTCGTTTCTGGCACACACGACACAACGAAAAATAGGCCACAGCACGAGATGCCCGCATACAGCCAAAATGCACCGTGTAATCCAAACCAGTCCTAGAAAATGAGAGAATAAAAGAGAGAGGTGTGAATAAATGAGTTGTTCTATAAGATCCATCTATGTAATAAAACAGGCACTCGTTTTGATTACCGATTCCGTTTTTTTTAAATGCACATACCTGGAAATCGATAAACGTTTTGACGCTGATGAACGCGCAAAAGTAGCTGAAGCTAGTCGCTATGCTGCTGCCAATGCCGCGATATTCAAGTGGAAATAGTTCACCAACTAGCAACGATGATATCGGCGAAATACCTGAAACGAAACGCACAAAAACATTCAATTTCTCAGACATAATTCAGTTGGTTGATTGCTTTTGATTGTGAGTGCGACGATGCAATAAAAACTAAAGAAACTTCTTTATTATTTTATGATCAGCACACATAAAATTTAATTGAGCGATTAATTTGTGTTTTTTGTTCCCCAATGAAAACTCGATTAAAAATATTTCCATCATTCCATGTAGATGGAATGCGAAGGAACCGAAACCGGTTTTCTAGTTTTAATTCGAAATTTTGCTTACCCAATGAAAATGCAATAGTGAACACGAGCACGCACAACAATGGGATCCAATCAGTATTGACTGATGCGGCCGCATCCATATCAAAATTGGTGCTCGCAATTAATTTATTTGATTGTTCATAGTACACGTATGACCCGAACGATGCTAGTGCCAACGACATGAATACACTGCTGACGATCAACAATGGAATACGGCCCACGGTGTCGATCAGCAGACCTGATAACATGGCAGCCAACAATTGCACAAATGCAACAGCAATCGCACCACCGTGTGGATTCAGACCGCTGAATGTTTGACGAAATATGTTTACGGCATAGAAACCAAATGAATTAGCCCCTGTGGAATGAAACGAAGGGTTTTTTTTAATTTCATTATTAAATGTGAGATTAGATTGGATGGTGTGACCAAAACACATGCTAATCTCTGGTTGTGTATGCGTTACCTGTAAATCGTTGAAACACCATAAGGCCACAAGTTATTGATACAGGCTTAATGATTCGCACATTTTTAAGTACCGATTTAATATTTGTATAAATGGTTTGCATTGACGCCTTTGACAGCAAATTTCCTGTGGCTAGCGCTGGGAATGGATTTTGTCGCGGTCGCACGGCACGAACATTCGACCGAATCGTTTCTAATTCCAATTCAATGTTTTTATTTGGACCACGGAGCCATTGCAATGATCTGTGGAATGGATTATCGGTTAGCGGATTTTGATGAAACAATTTTAATTCTCGGTTTTTTTTTCAATTTATGACAAACCGCAAGACTATTTCGACGGCACAAAAAATGGAAATTTACCTGTAAGCTTCATCGTCACGGCCATTTAACACTAAAAAGCTTGGCGTTTCTGGTATGTAGATCACAGTGAGAAATAGTAGCATTGGTGCGATTGAAACGAGCATGGCCAATTGGCGCCAATCGAGATATGCTCCTAATGAAAACGATATCAATATGCCGATGTGGCCGCTAATCTTCTGAATTGCCGACAGAAAACCACGAATATCCGGTGATGCTATTTCACTAATGTACACCTAGAAAAATAAAACACCAAATTTTTGGAATTATTGATTTTTCACTCTCGTTCTTACTCTCTTTCTCTCTATTCGATTCTGTATCCATCAATGCGGCAGTTTGTCGCAATGCTCTCTCTCTCTCATACATACCTGTGTGACCATTGAAACGATCGAACAACAGAATCCACCGATGAATGCGGTGGCAAACATGGTTTCAACCGATTTAGCAAACACGGTGACCAACCAGGACAAAGAAAACGGCACCGACATCAGTGTCAACAGTCTGCGACGGCCATACTGTAAAAAGAATCCCCCTAGAACACCGCCAAACAGGGCACCTGTGCATACACACACCAAGAAAAAAAAACAGAGAAAAAATTAATGGGAAAATAAAATTATCGTTTCGGCTCAAATTGCTTCTTTTATGTGTTCCGAGTTCTGATGCACAGAACAACAACAACAACAACAAGAAATGTTGACCGTAATATTTCTAGTCGATGGTAATAACATTAAACGCACAACAGCATCAATTCAATCGGCTACAAAACGGAAAGTTCTTTATACTCTTTCTCTCCTCCTCGCTCCTTCTCTGTCTTTCGTTCCCTTTTTTCATCATTTCGCTTGAACATTTAAAATAAAATTACAATTTCAACGGTAGTCATAACGAGACATTCAAATAAACTGACGGCGAAAAAAAAGTGCTTTGTTCCATGTACAAGCTCACAAAAAAGGATTCGAAATTTTTTGATGCTGTGTGTGTACTGTGTTTATATGTGCGCCGCTCCGAAAGTAATAAGGATTTAAAACGGACGGACCCGAATCAAAACGATAGCACAAAAAATGGTCCATTTAATAAGCTTTTCAGCATTCGGATATAATCAACCAAACTAGTAGCAGTGAAAAAAAAATCAGTCAAAAGGAATACCCTGGTTCGAGGCTAGTGCGAAGCAAAAGTAAAAGCAAATGTGGATGTGGAATAACATTGATATTGGCAACGTGAAGCACATAGAAAAGGGGAAAATTCGGTATGTGTCGCTAATGCATCTTCAACTGGCAAGAAAAAAAAACCGATGAAAATTGCATGGTGAAATTGGAAACGGGCGAAAATGAGTAAAAGAGAACTGGTAATTTCAAAGTGTCGGTTGAAGTACTCTTTTTCACAAAGTAAAAACGTCATCAAGCTGATTATCTCATGGAATAATCGATTTTCCGGCCTTTTAGTGCACTGCATGCAGAAGATCTAACAATTTCCGTTTCATTGTTAAGCAAAACTATTTCAATTTTCTCCAGAAAATAGCACTTTTCGACTGAAAAAAGAGGTGCTCATCCTTTAAAGGTATATTCTGATCGATTAAGGCAAATGTACATAAACTGGTTTGAAACGATAATCTGTGAAGTGGGAATGGTGTTGACTTACCTAATAATGATAAACTAGCTACCCAACTGGCTTGCTGGTCACTAATTGTGAATGAGGTGTAATTTCCACGTGGTCTAATCTGTAGCTCTTGAAGGCTAGCAATGGCTGGACTCGAATAACCTTTACCCAAACCAGCGGCCAGAGGTCCAAGCGAAACGGCTAACGCAGCTACAATCTGCAAAATAACAATTGAATTCCATTAGATTCAAATATACTAACTACCATTATACATGCACCTCGCAAGTATATTCGAAGCATCTCTCAAGTATTTGAAATATTTGACGTGCTCACAACACACATTCATAACTGAGCATGAATTTTTTTTCTCTTCAAAATAAATATCCTGACAATGAGCAAACCGCATGAATCGATTCGCATATTTGTGTCGTACAAGTGCAAAGCAAGTATATTTCGTATTGACTTTGGATATTAACTGGAAGTTGTTTGATGTTTATTGTGACAACAAAAAGCATATATCCGCACCAATTGACAAAAGGTCCGACATTATTTGATCACTTCAGAGGGGGAGGTTGGCTGACAACTGAATCCAAAATAAATAAATGACTGTGCAAACTGTGTGTGTGATATTGTCGTATTTCATTTTGGTTTGTGTCATATTCGCTATCTCTCTCTCGATGGGTATTGTTTGCTCTACCTCTTTGTGTGAATACATCACACAAATATTAGCCGCTTATTATTATTGTTGACAACAATCCTATCGTATAATGCTGATTGAAATCATTCGGTTTTCTTTGATATTCAACCAGATTGAACTACTTGATTCCATTCGGTTTATTTTTGGTGCAATTTCTCTTTTTCTTTCTCCGTATGAATGAATGTTATCTCATAGTGTGGCAACAACTTGAGTGAATGCTCATCGAAAAGATATAGCAACCGCAAACGGAATAATCGTGTATTGATTGATTTTGAGCATGCTGAAAGTGTGTGCGCTCAACCAATCAATTTCACCTGATGTTTTGTTTATTCTTTGGATGTTCAGTAAAAACTTGGCTAATATCATTCTCATCTCCACACACATGAGAGAAAAAGAACTAGCGGCTTTTTGCTCAACAAAAGCACGTTCTTGCGCCAACTTAAAAGCCGCTAGCTTTTCAGTGGATTTGTGTTTCGGGGTGCAGGCGAAGAGAGTGTGAGAAAAGAAAAATGTAATCTTCATGCCATTTTTGACAGATTTCGCAACATCGAGGCGAGGCAAGACGTGCTGAAGTTGAAAAGCCATGTTGCCACAGCATTTCATATCTTTTTCATTTATGTAAATCTCTTTCCATTATTATTTCCATAAGCAATACGCGGAGATTTGACGTGTTCGTACATAATTTCACCAGCAGCTTCTGCCACATTTTTAAACAATGCGCTTCCAGGTATCATACTGCCATTAGTTCCGATTTTCGGCTTGAACAAACACACATTCGCACCAAATTCGCTTTCGTAACCAAAAATCAATGCACATTATCTACATCATTTCCATTTAGAATTTATGTCAACCAGAAGAGAGAAAAAAATCCGATCTGATCGTTTATTTATTTTATTGAAAATGTATTATGGCGGAAAATGAAACAATCAAGCTCAAAAATGCGAATTCCGAAGAAAAATTTCAAATACAAAAAAAAGAGCATGAACGTGCTGGTTTAAGCTGGTTGCAATATATGCGAGCACATATTGTCTAATTTGATTCCATCTCGTTTACCAAGCAACATTCCATTTCTCTTTCAACTTGTGCTGGTAACAACGCTGAGCTTACTCGTATACGAAGGTACATGTATTATCCTGATATTGATTTTTTTTTCTCATGTGTGTGTTTGTGTGTGTTGCTGCTCCTGATGCTGCTACTGCTGCTATCATTGTGGCTCTTACGATGATTGTACCGTGAATGAAAAGCAAAGTGTGCCGTAAAGAAAATTATATTGAAACAGGGGCTTTCATCTCGTTTTTTCTTTCTTTTTTCACCATTCGAGATCAAAATCAAGAGAACGAAGACAAAGGCGAAATTATGGGTTAAGTTTTTCTTTTTTATTCCTATGCGATTGCTATCCCTGTGTTAGACTTTACCTTAGTTTCGAAGAATAAGGAAAAAAGTCAAAATCAGGAGAAAGAGACACACACACAGAGATAGAGGAGATGGAGAGAGATGGAAGGAGATAGAGATAGAAAGAGAAAAAAAGACGAAAGGAAGTAATAAAAACAGACATCGATGCGATGAGCGTGTAATCTCAAAATGGCAATCACATTGGCGGAAATCAAGCGAAAATATTTTCATGTCCGTTCAATCGTTTGGCAGGTGGTGTTTTCACAAAGTAAACATAATTTATACGTAAACAAAGATGGTTCGGTGTAAGGAGGCACTGCAAGGACGAATAAACAAAACGAACTGTATTTTCACGTCAACCGATAGATAAGCGCTGGTCGATCATAAACAAAAACACTTTACACTCGGTAATTTAAGCCATTCAAGCGATACCATTCTAATTTGTCTTGCTTCATTTTTTTCCCTCCATAAACTCATTTTCCGATTCAACAAAATCAAACAAAAAGATTTGCCAATTACTGTGGACGGTTAAGGGGCAGTTATTCGAAAGGTTCATTATCACAGCGACCCATCAACCAAATGAGCTTATGAGGAAGTAAAAAAAGGGCAAATTTCAATCAGATTACCGTGCAACATTAGGGAGATTATCAAAATTTGGTGAGATCAGCGAAATAATTGATTTAATGATGTTTTCATTGGTGAAACCATGAAGAAAAACATTTGGTTAAGTATCTAAAATTTGAACAATTGAAAAACTTTATAAAATGTACAAAAAACTTTGGCTAAAAGTTGAATTTCAGTATTTTTCGCACGGTTCAGGCAATACAAAACAAAAATTGTTTAGAAATTTCTCAGCAGTTCTGTTACCGATTTACCGTTCTCATCGCGTATCCAAAGACTAAAGGGCATCATTCTCACGTGAAACAGACAAATGAAATAAAGCCTTGTTACGAAATTACTAATCCCTTCAAATTGCTTTGACGTAAACTTTAATCCAAACTCCAAACTCCGATAACAAAGACTGTGTAATCGTACATCAATTAAAAGGAGAAACATTTATCTAACAAAATGATAATTTACCATCATCTTGATTTGCCGGATCCCTTTTGTCTGTTTGTCGCAAATTTTGACGACAAAGCAAAAAGATACTTAATTAAGAAAAATAGTAACCGACGATATTCACCTGAATTAAAATGTTTCGTATGTAATGGCAATTGGCGTATGGGGAGATAACAGAGAATGATGGAATGGGTAACAGAGACGAAACGTAGAATGGTTTTAATTGGATAGATTTACATGAGTTTGTCATTGGCTTAAAAAGGATAATGTGAAAATGCAATTTGTATCGAAAGATAAAGTTGAGTTGCTGCTTTTGAATTTGAGCCGGGATTATGGCTTCAATCGATGCGTGTGTGAATTTGTGTGTTGTGATGCACAAAAAGTTCCATTGTATACTTTAGCAAAACTAGTTACAAAGTGAGTTGAAGCTGCTAATGAGCCCGGTTGTATTGTGTTTGTTTCAACGTTCGAGCCATATCACATTTCAATCATTATGTATATATCGATTCACAATCGTACAAGAGATGAGAAATGTTAAGAGATGAAAATTTTACCTGCGTATAGTGATTGTTTCGATGCATGGGATTTGTTGGATTTGTGTTGTCATTGCTGTTCGCATTTCCATTCAGCACTAATTGACTGTGTTCGATGATGATTTCCGCGCTTTGCATTTTAATTGGCTTTTGTAGATAGTAGTCGATGTACGTGTCGTGATTATTGCGATTATTGTCGTATTTCTTACCGCTACCAATATTGTTGTGATAAGGCTTTGTCTTTGCAATGGTGTTATTGTTGCACGTATTGTAACCAATTGATTTTGGTATTGATGATAGGTGTGTGTTGGCTGCAGCAGCAGCAGCAGCAGCGGTACTAGCACCAGCACTCGCAGCACCTGTCTCGTCCGCACAATGTTTCGTATTATTGTAATAATGATTGATGTTATTCAAATTAAAATTAATTTGCTTTGTGAATCGATCGCTAGTGTTATTCAAATTGGTGTGAACGGTGTTTGACGATGGCACAACTCTATTGTCCAATGTCTGATAGTATGGATTATACGAATGGTATTTTTGTTGTTGATGTGATTTGGTGGTGTTGAGCAACGTTGTGTGTGGCAGTTTTTCGTAGTCGTTTCGATGCGGTTGTGGCACAGAATATCGATGTTCCAAGTAGCGTTGATGGATTTGATTCTGCAACAGCTCTTGTTCGAGCTGAGCTTGCAACAAATATCGTTGTTCTTGGCGTTGATTGTACGTTGATGAACGAAGCAACGACGATGACGGTGTCTCTTCGAACAGTTTTTGGTTGTGAAAATTCGATTGAGCAGTCTGAAAAACAGAGAGAGAGAGAGAAAAAGAAGTAAGAACATGAACTTAGAACACATTTCTATAGTCATTACTCTCAAAAATCATTATACAGAAGAAAAATAAGCGTCTAATTTCCCATGTCAAATGTCTTGAATTACATAAATTAATCCGTTTTAATAATGTTTTCGTGGCAGAAATTTTCCACTCCACCGGAAAACGATCCGAGACGAAGCCACAACTTCGCTGGATTTTTTCTATTTTATTTGTGTGAAAATGTCACATTTAATGATGATTTCATGTTGACTCCTTCCGTTCTTCCGAGGCCAAGGGAGAACGACAGAGATAATGACCAACGAAATTTACATCTTTAAGCATGTCCAACGCTAATATTCCAAAACATTGAAATGAGAAATATGCATTTCGCTCCACTTCAACATTATAAATGATTACAAAGCGCTGAAAACGGGCATGCTTGCGCGCACATGTCGAGATGGTCGTTAAAAGCGTCAGCATGTTTAGCATCGCTTGTATGATATCAGCATGTTTGCGACTGCAGATGAAATAAAACAAACGAGAAAAAAAACGTAAAAGAACGGAACACGCCAACGAAAAATCATCTCACAACGTTGTTATTGCCATATAATGTTTAGCACTTAAAATGTTTCAAGTCTTTAATTTTATTGTTCGTGCAATTTTGTAGCAGCCACTTACTCGTTTGGTTGAACGAAATTTAAATGCTTTTGCTCATGGTTTCTCTCGCTCTTTCTCTGCGTGAAGCGAATAGAACATTTTTCCGCTTCGAAATTGAACCGTTTGCATGTTTAACGAAATGATGCATCAGCCAGATATATATCGAAAATGTTGAACGCAACATAAACAAAAGCAAGCGGGCAAATCGAATAAATTGAAATGAAAGCGCAATTGATTGAAGTGCTTAGTATGCTCAATGCCCCTCAATCATTTGTTTCTATCTACCAGTCGCTTATTTTTACGAGTTTGATTACTATGGAGACAGGGCTTATGCACCGATTTTTTTTTGCAAATTCTATTCCATTCTAATCTTTGTTTTATTTCATTTTTTCCTGCCATTTCTTGATGTTGCAATGAATTTGTTGCGATCGATAAGCTTAAACTCAAACACAGCGAGAGAGAGCAGAAAAAAAAGAGAGTTCTTCACCATGGCCAGTGCATTCGAACTGTGTTTGCATTATAAAGTCCAATAAATATTTGTGTACCAATACGCATTAATCACGATGCATATTGCCACTGTGATATCGCAACGAACCGCTCGAATGGATATGCAACGAAATGGGACGAAACCAGAAAATCGCACATCTCATTGTGAATTGTTTGCATTGCAGCCATTGCACACAACCCATGGAATTAATATTCTCTCAATTAATGCACAAAAAACTGGAGATAGAGATAGAATGAGCCGAGGGGGAGAAAAAGGCGTATTGATTTTTAGCATGCCGATGGAATTGGTGCTGCATATTCGCCTCGCACACTGAAAATTGCATGGAATTTTTGTTTGTATTTGCTGTGCCCGGCTATTCGCTTGTCAGTAATGCACCGTTCGGATGTTTGCCATTGCTGATGGAACGCCATGTTGAGAAAAAAAACACCGTAAAACTGCAAATTGCATCATTTCTGCTACTCTTTTTTCTCATCAGAAATAAAATGCATACCAATTTTATGTCTTGAGCAGGTGAACACTATTTTTGCTCTATTGTGCATGTGTGTCTGTCTGTCTGAAGCCGCGCATTTTCCACGCAACATCTCAGTTTGATGTACAATTGAATTGCATTTAATTGCTTCTCGGCTGACATGATCAAAAACAAGAGTATTCTACCTCATTTCTTGTTACAAATATTTCCGACATGATTTTCTGTTTGCATTGCACTTTTTCCGTTCACTCGCTCATTCGCACTTGTACACAAAGTATTTCAGAGCATAATAACACATTTCGAATGGTGAACATTTATTGAATTTTACCGCAGCAAAACAACGACTGTGACTTATGTTGTGTTTATGGATTTTTCTCGCAATCACACATTTTATATTTATTTCACCGCGAGAATTGGTGCAACCAACCCAAACCAAGCGGAGCCAAGCCAAGTCTCGGCCACCGGAGAGACAAAGAGAGAATGACAAAGAATCACATCGATAAAAAAAAATCGCATTTTTATTTACGACTTTTTATTTATAGCTATTTGTGGGCTATGGTACAAACAATGAATACAGACATAAAAATGGGCCAATTTCAATCGATATGTATAACAATTCACTTGTTGTTTGTACTAGTTGTCCGTTTGAAAATGCTACACACATGAACAATATGTCGCCGGTCAATGTCTCTTCAATTTTTCAACCGCCTTTCACATTTGAACGACCATATATCATTAGATCATTTCGGTGCAGTCGCTTTTTTTTCGTTTCGTTAATTTAATGAAATCAAATAAAACCGGTCGTTGACAAATGTATGCGAGAAACTCATTTTTAGCTAATTATTGCTTGTTGATCTTTCGAGATAAAGAAAAAACCCTCAACGAAATGAGAAATAGATTGAATGCAACTATTAAATCTATCATACATTATGTATGGTGATCCAACGGAAATAAATGTGCTGGCAATGATGTAATGGTCCACATCTTGGATTACATTCAAAAGATTTGTCTTTTGATTCTAGATTTAGATCGTTGATTTGCTGTAAAAAGAGATGTGATATAATCGTGCGAGCGTTGTTTACGCGGCTTAAAACTGGTGATGTTGGTGCATTGTGTCCAATTAAAATTGATTAGTTGCATTTCAAATGAAATTTATATTTTGAAACAGCATTTGAAATTCATTTCAAACGCATTTTACAACACGCATATCTTGTTTAATGTGAGAAAATGACAGGCACGAACGAAATTTATATTCATTTTTGAATAACAAAAAATTATTATGAATCGAAATTGACCCCATTAAATTATATCGTTGGCATGGAAAAATTCAAATCACAGGAAAACCAAATGAAAAGGCAAATCGATTGGATTTTGACGGCACACTTCCCGTTTTCGTGTGTCGATATTATGCGTTAAAAAAAATATTCATCGTACTCGCAGATGCTCACTTTCCGCTTTTGAGCAAACAGCAGCAGAAAAAAAACGGCAACAACAGCGATCCCAAGCACATGGGTTTCATTTAAATAACATATATAAATTTATGAATATAATTTGTGGCAGGTGACGCAGTCATTTCCGTATCTCCCTTTTTATGCAACAATAAAGATAACAATTGAATGAGATAGAAAGAGAGAAAAAAACATCACTTTTTTCCGCTTTGGACAAGATCTAGGTTATACGTATCGATACAATATCTCATCGCATCAAATTAAGTTTATTGCAACATTCACTTCGAATAAAACGAGGCATTGAAAGTACGCATTAGTTGTTATAATAGGTGATTTGACTGGGAAATGTGCTGGCGAATGAGTGTCACTCTCTTTTTGTTTGTTTCGGTGAATTCATCACAGCTGAACATACTTTTTTTTGTGTGATGCGCTCGTTCACACGAATCCGACTTTTTTTTATTCTTTCGAATTGGGGATTAGAACATGGAAACTTGAATGTCATTGCCAGAAATCAATTGAATTTAATGAGAACCGATTTGGGAGGCAAAACATGGAAATCGAATCTTCAAATTGTATTGATACTTGATGCGAATGGCTATGACAAATGAAATTCACAAGAGGATCTCAGATCCCATCCTCTGCATCAAACTTTTTTTTCATTATTCAACAAAAAAGAACGAATCGAAAAGTATCGAATGTTTTTAAAAAAAAACTTTTTCAGGATCATCCTCTCGGCGGAAACGAGCATGCCGCGTAATTCACCAAACTAAAATTAAGTCACGTTCATTCGTTTGACTTTCTTTTTTTTTCACTTCTCATTTTATCAGCATTTACCGCCGACTGTTTTCGTTTCCATTTAATTGAGATTCGTTTATTTTTCATTCGGACTTTTTTTTATAGTTTGGAATGAATCGTCAATCAAACTTGGAAATTAATTTCAGTTTTGACATCAGCACATCAACCTCTTTCATCATCTCACGTTGCACTCTCGTCACGTTTAAACTACTTTATTATGGATTTTTGGTTGTTGTTGGGAAAATATATGGAGCATCATGACCATTTTCACGGTTCGGCTACCTGATCAGTAATCAGAATGAATGGCATTCTGAAACATAATAATCTGAAAGTAGCTCAGAACGGTTAAATGAAAATTACACGGTCTATTTTGTGTAATTAAACCCAACAATTTTCGAAGGGTGTGACGACTCACACACACAAAACCTGTTCTAATCATGACCATAAAACAAAATAATTTGGCTTTGGTGATTTCAAAAAAACATTTCAATTGATAGCCTTCGGACTTTGCAAATATGGCACGTGTGGCAAAAGTGCATGTGAAAAAATCATATCCATACCGAAAAAAAAACTCAACAATAAAAAATATTTACTATCCCAATTGTTTGCTCTAACTTCATTTTGGCTCCAAAACAAAACGATATATCACATGCACGAGAAGAAAAAGTCGGTTCAGTTTCATCCGATGCGATTGTTTGTTGTAGATGTGATGTGTTTTTTGTTCCTCCGAGAGTCAAAACAAAAACAATACCAAGCCGACGAACGTCACTTCGTAAACGTGTAATAAATCATTTTTGGCTGGAAAACGAAGTGCTCAAATTTATAATGCATCAACCTGACTGCGGTACGGCATACATTCGTTTTTTTTCGCTTCACCATTGGCTTATAAGTATCCCAAAAGGCCTTGAATATGGAGGGAAATTTGATCGACATTCATAAATACACTGAACTGTGCGTGAATGAGTGTGTGCCAAAACGTTTCCTTTATCCCAAACGTTATAATAAATTGTGTGTACAAAGTTTGTGACATTGGAATTGGTCTTCATTTTTTTCAAGACCCTGAAACTGGGTGCGAGTGAACGAGAGAGAGAGTTTGACGGTATGTAGAGAG